GGAAACACGGTAGTGTAGTCTTGGAGCTCAAAAGTATCGGTACATGTACTCGTACCGAGTACTGTACTTGGTATCTGTACAACCCTATTGAGTAGAGTAAGCACAGGAGTTAATACAATTGTATGTTTAATTACATCTAATAAGTCAGAAATCAAACTACAGTAAATAAATGCAGCCATATTATTAAAAGGTGGTTTCTGTTCTGTTGCTGTGTTACGGCACAATTATGGTGTTTGACCTTTTATTAAATGAAAATATACACTGTCTGGCCAAAAAAATTCACACACGCTAAGATTTTATTGGATCCCCTTTAGCATTGATTATGGCACACATTCACCGTGGCATCCTTTTGATAAGCTGTGCAATGTCACAACATTTATTTCCATCCAGAGTTGCTTTCATTTTTTATCAAGATTTTAGTAATGAGGGTAGAGCCACACCACTGTGTAAAGTCTTCCCCAGCACATTCCAAAGATTCTCTGTGGGGTTAAGGTCTAAACTGTGGTGAGCAATCCATGTGTGCAAATTATGTCACATGCTACCTGAACCACCCACAATTTAAGCCTGATGAATCCTAGCATTGTCATCTTGAAATATGCCTGCGCCACCAGGAAGAAAAAATCCATTGATGGAAAACCCTGGTCATTCAGTATACTCAGATAGGCAGCTTACTTCATTTTTTGAGGATATAACATGGACCATATTAATCACTGTAGTAATTATCCAATGTAAGGTTCTTGCTGCTTACCTAAATCCAGGTGGTGACTTTTTTTTGGCCAGGCAGTGTATTTCTAATGGATTTTGCTTCCGAAGGAATGCTGCATTGAATCTGAGACAATTTGACTACACAAATATTTTGGTCTACAGTATATTTGGATAAAATGTATAAATGCATTCCAATAACCAGTGGGGAAGCTAGAAATGTTTTCGCCCGGGGCAAAGGCTCAGAATTGCACCCCCCAAAGGAGATGTTCCCCATCCACCCACCCAGTGGTGTCCCTCCTAAAGCGCCACTGGGGCACATGCCCCCCCAGCCCCCCCTAGCTTCAGCCCTGCCAATAACTTACCTCAGGGTAATGCTGCAGAACTAATAGCTGGTGATGCTCCAACACACCTGTAGATCCAGTTCCAGCAGTTAGGAGGCAAACTATGTTCTCATGCTGAAGAGGAGTCAGTAGGCTGAGAGTCCTCCACTCCTGACTATACAGGTCTTTCAATGGTGGTGGAAAGCATTTTATGATGACCCCCCTCTCATACAATGCACCAAGCCAGAGATCTTCTCTAAGAGCCTAGGTATAAAAAAGCACAGCGCTACTTATAGAAAAATTGTGATTTCACATAATATATTATTATATTAAAGTGAAACAATACTACTGAAAAAACATTTATACTCCGTGGAAACTCCTTCTAACTTATATTGTGCACCAGAATTCATTCAATTGAGAAGTTGAAACTGGGCACTTGACACAGAGAGGTTTTTTTAGGCTTTAAGTGCCGAATCATGTGGTGCCAAATCACTGGTAAACTAGGATTTAAAGTGTGTCAGCTTACTCATAACTTTATTGGCCCTGTGTATGGAATAGAAATGATCAGAGTTGCAGTTGATATATGGATTCCTTCCCTAGGTACAAAATGGGAAAAAACAAACGACCCTTCAGTAAAGTGTTGGGTTAGGAAGCATGGAACGGTTCTCTTCCAAAATTTAAAAATCTGTTTTACAAAAATTCTATCAAAGTTCTATCAAATACAGAAAAGCTTGTTGTGCCATATGCGCAATTTTTACTAACCTGGAGCAGGTTAAGACCCTCCACTGGCATTGTTGGCGGTCTAGTCTCCTGTAAAATGGAAATTTCTTCAAGTTCTAACTCATCCTCCTTTCTGGCCAGCAGAAAAGCATTCATTCTCCGCTTTACTGATTTTAAAAATAAAAGAGTGAAAAACAGAGGAAGGAGAAATGGATACCCACGTACTCTAAACAAAACTCATTTAAGACTTTTTGTATAGCTAAAATTCAAGTTAAACTTCAGGCAAATGGCATAAAAATATTATTGCAGCAATTAATGGAGTTATGCAGCCATTAAAAGTTGTTACATCGTAAGGCGGGGGTAGCGGAGGGAATTTGATTGTGCCCTTACATTCACTTATACTAACCTTTGTTTGATCCAGTCTACAAGCTGTTTCCTAATTATACTGGATCTATGGTTTAAAAACAGATTACTAGCAACTGCTAAACGCTGATTCAGTTTACAGTGCCCCTAAGGCAGCAATGCCCGTAAGGTAGAGGACAAAGATTACCTTAACTCATGCTATGTCATCACTTGTGAATATATGCTTCTGATGTACTCGAATACTACAGTGTATTGTAAAACAAAATAAACATTTTCTTGAAAGAAAAAAAAAGAAGTTGTTACATGCATTTCTAAATGCAGCTATTGTAATTTTCTGTAAACCTTGGCACAGCAGATTTTGACAAGGGAAGACCAGCACTAGGAGCCAGTCAGGAGCACTAGGAGCCAGTACTGTTGAAGTACAGGGTGGTGACCAAGCTGTATTATTTAACTGCAGTATAGAAAAGTGAGGTCACCAATCTTGATGTTTTGTCTGACAGGGTTAGGTAAATATCTAGACAATATGGACAGCATTTCAAATCATTAGGGTAGGTGCAACAGCTTACTTATAAATACAGATGTTGTGGATGAATAAATAGATAGATAGATAGATAGATAGATAGATAGATAGATAGGATATACTGTATATTTAGCTGTTAGTCTAGAGGTCAGCTTTGACTCTGCTTTATGTATTGACTTACCTATGATTACCACAGATGCACACAATGCCACAAAAATGGTTACCATTGCCACGTGTATGATGGCCACATGATCACCTAAAATGGATACACCGTACAATACATTAGATTCTTCAAAATCTAATTTTAAATGCAATATATATTTCTCCATGTTGTATCCTCTAACTACATCCATTCACACAAATCATGGTGGCTCAGTGGTTAGCACTTCTGCCTCGCAGCACTAGGAGTCCCCAGTACAAATCCTGGTCAGCGCACCATCTATAAGGAAGTTGCATGTTCTTCCTGTGTGGGTTTCCTCCCACACTCCAAAGACATGATGGAAGGTTATTTGAATGTGAGAGCAGGGACTGATGTGAATGTGTAACTGTGTAAAGTACTGTGTAAATTGTTAGCGCTATATAAATACCTGCATTAAATAAAATAAAACAAAAACGTTTAAGGCTGCACACTGGTCCTCTGCATTTCCTCAAAGTGACTTTGTCAGAACAAGTAGAGAGGACATTCCACCTGCTGGCTTCCCAGGAGGGGGTGAGACGTGTCAGCATAGTCAGTAGGTGGAATGTCCTTGCCACTTGCTGTAATAAAGTGGTATAGGGGAATTATGGAGGTGCGATGTGTGGCCTTACAGATTGTTACTCCCAAGGTTAGGGGGCATTTTTAGCATTGGGGATGCCAGGGATCCCAACCTGAAAGAAGCACTTTCAGGGAGGTGTCCCTCTCATTTCCGGGAGGCGCTCCCCCCCCCCCCATCCACGGAGGAGAGGTTAGGGGGGCTGGGAGAGAGCACCCCCCTGAAATGATGGCAGATAGCACAGGAAGCAATAGCTTCTTTGCTATCTGCAGGCTTTCTTTTTTTTTTTTTGTATTCTGACAGTTGCAGTCGTCAGAATTAAAAAAAAAAACATCTGACATCGGGATAAAACGATCGCAGGGAAAGGTTTAATCTGCTTGATAGAGCAGATTAAACCTTTCCGGGAGAAAATGTTTCTCTCCCGGGCGGCCGGGAGCCGCTATCTAATAGCGGGAGACTCCCGGAGCTTCCGGGAGAGTTGAGATGTCTGGGATGCTCTCATTCTGAACACTTGTTAAATGCTTCCTAACTACTTACCAAACAGCATGTAAATGCTATATAAGAGTTTGGTTAGAATCTGCTGATGCATACCTAGCCTAAAGGTCATCCGCTGACTGTAAATAACCTGTCAATTAACACACTCGTAAAATACATTTATTATGACTGACATGATGCTGAGGCTACACTGAATCTCCAAGAAGTGTTATTAACCCTGCTTGAGGTCTCCTCTGCTAGACTACAGAACACCAGGAGAGGTGAAGATGTTCTGTAGTCCAGCAGGTAAGAAGTGGACAGGGTTGACAACACTACTTTGTATTTCAGTGCAGGATTGTTGTCTCACTACAGGAATTTAGGAATTTAGGAGCTCACTGGATTTCTGCCAGGATCAAAAGGTATTTTTCTGTACTTGCAGGCTTTTTAAAGAGATGCAAAATAAGGTTTTATAACCTTCCATATGTGCACACTCACAGGGCTATTCACTGAAGGGTGAAGGGTTTGGAGAAGGCAGGAGAAGTGAACAATCTAGGACATCATAACTGAACTTGAAAGTGAGCTGAATTGGAGAATGTTTCCAGTTCAGCTATGTTGTCCTAGTTCAGTGGCGTCACAAGGAGGGTGCAGAGGGTGTCACCCCCCTCTGAAAAGTCGGGCGCTCAGTCATGGACCGAACGCCCGACAGTATCAGGAGAGAAGAGGGGACCCGGCGGCATACCTTATCCCGCCGGGTGACTGTCCCCTCCTCTCTCTGCCGGCGTCCACCACCAAGATGGCCGCCGGCAGGTACCAGAATACCGCCGCGCGTGCGCGATGACGTAATCGTGCACGCGCGTTGTGACGTCACGCGCATGCGCAGTGACGTCTCGGCGGGGTTACACTCGGTTACCGCTCCGGGTGTCACCCAGCCTCGGGACGCCCCTGTCCTAGATTGTGCACTTCTCCTGCCTTCTCCAAACTCTTCACCCTTTAGTGAATAGACCTGTCAGTCAGTGCTTCAGAAAGTACTAAAACCAAATCAGCATAACCACCAATCCACTAGCATTTTCAAGAGAGGTCAGCAACAGCAGCCTCCACATTTCTGCTTCACCTTAAAATGACCTTGTCATGATAGAAACATAGAAGATGCCTTTGCTCACTTGCTTTGGAAATGCAGGGTCCAGGGTTGTAAATCTGATCCTTGCTTTGCTGCTAGGTAAGTCATTGATCTGAAGCACACAGAATAATATTGGGACAGTGACCCACTAAGTTATGAAGAACGGAAGGAGGTTTGCAGTTGCAATGCCCATATACAGTGGGGGGAATTTATCAAAACTGGAGCAGACAGGCTCTGGAGCAGGTGCCCATGGCAACCAATCAGCTTCTCTCTTCAGTTTGTTCGGTTAAGTTTTCCAAATGAGAGGACCTGATTGGTTAATATGGGCAACTACTCCAGATTCTGTCCTGCCCCAGTTTTGATAAATTCCTCTTAGAATTCATTGTGACTGGTTCCAAAGGCCCCCAAAGATGGCTCAAATTCCAGGCGACTCCTGATGCTTTGTCCAACATTCGAGCCGTGGGTGCCCCTGCAAGTACCACCTGCTTGATAAAAGTCAATTTAAAAATAATGTTACCAGATTTTCAAAAAGAAATCTGAGGACACTCTACTGCCCACACCTACTTTTAACCACACCCATAAAAGCCACACCTCTATTTGTAGTCACAGATACAGTGGTGGGGCTGAGTCAGCGTGAAAAGGCTCCTCTCGGCTGTGTCATGTGACACTCACATCATAGCAGAGGAGGAGTTTAGGGAAGCTCTCCTCAACTCTGTACACTGCCGCTATACCTAAGGTGTGAGTGGCTGCACTGCAGGGCCACAAGTTAAAAAAAATAGGGTGGTCACAATGCCGGGAACGGGACACCCCTGGCCTGGGTGACTGGCACCACGACATGCCCGCACTGCAGCACCAGGCGGCCAGGGACATCTCCAGTAACCCCCATTTCCCAGGGGCAGACCCCTCAAAATGGGGACAAATGGTAACCATATTTAAAAATCAACTGACCCCGGTTGAGAATGATCAAACAAACAGTGAATACGTCCTATCAGAAGCAGTACTTGCCAGCTGCAGCTGCCTGAATAGAATAGTCAGGAGTATGGGGGAATTGTTCAGCTTGAAAATCAAGCCATGCATGGCAACATTTAGGGCTTTAACCCTTTGCACAATGATAACATCAGGCAATTATAACTGAATGATGTCAGTGTAGTATCACATTTGTCACAATCATTCGTTACCTCACTGGAGTGACCGTGACCATTCGTATCTAATACATATTTTATAACTGACATCAGAGTCTGTGGTCAGTCCCTTACTGGAGTTGCTTGCATTCCTCGGTTGCTCCCTCTCACGTGTCGTCCAATCACAGGAGACGTTCCAGTGTGCGCATCTTTTTGGTTCAGCTGATAAGAGACCCAGTCAGAGACAAAGACACATCTTTCCTCCCCCAAACAACACCTGTGTTTCACAGTGATAAGCCACCCCGTCTGTGTAATCACACCCAGAACACAAGGGATCATAATTTCCTATTGTATGTATGTGTATAAAAACTGAACATTATGTACAGGTATACATGTACGGTGGGTATTAGATTATTACCATGTACGGTGGGGTATTAGATTATTACCATGTACGGTGGTTATTAGATTATTACCATGTACGGTGGGGTATTAGATTATTACCATGTACGGTGGCTTTTGGATTATTACCATGTTCGGTGGGTATTAGATTATTACCATGTTCGGTGGGTATGTGGTTATTAGATTATTACCATGTACGGTGGGGTATTAGATTATTACCATGTACGGTGGCTTTTGGATTATTACCATGTTCGGTGGGTATTAGATTATTACCATGTTCGGTGGGTATTAGATTATTACCATGTTCGGTGGGTATTAGATTATTACCATGTACGGTAATGCTTTGTTTATGCGATCCAGTGTGCTCATGCTACGGGACTGTACAATGAAAGCACTGGATGGTGTGACGGGACCCTAAGGCTTAACTCTGAGCACAGAAAGTTTCATTTACAGTATCTATTCCTCAACAGCTACAGAGGATATCAAAATCCACTTTGCCTGCACCAGACACCTTTGCAAATTTAGATATCCCGCATCTCTGCAGAGCCGGCTGGGATTCCCGCCACAACAATCTTGCCGTTCTTGCCGCAGGAATCCACAGGCACAGCTAATAGCCTCATTGGCATGGGGTCTTTGATGTTTTTCTACTCTGAAGTGCACTTTGAATAAAGAGAGGATCCCCCAGTGTCACTGTGATCTGAACATTCAGTGCAATCCATAAACAATCCTTCCCTGCAAGCACTGCACATTACTAAATAGAAATGCCCTAAATCCCCCTCCCCTCCCCTGCAATATGCACATACTCACGAGTGGTGGTTTTATGTGAAATGGTAATATTGGCATTACACATGTCTGAAGAACATAAACAGTGATATTTGGCATCCTGGTACGTGGGGGCACAGACCTCAAACCTGCACACAGCATGTGATGGAAAGCAGCCTGTAAGAAGGGACAAACATGACACTTAAATGTACAATACTGAAAAAAACAGTGTGAAGGTAAAGTGGAAATAGCTAAAAAAAAAAGCTGAAAAATAGCTTAATAAAATCTGAAATGCACATCCTGTTTTACTTGTCAAAGGATTTGTGACTCTGTTCAGCCAGCCCTGTAAAATCACACTTCACAGGCAAGGCAGATAAGGCCCCATGCACACCCTGGTTAGGGTTGCCACCTGTCCAGGATTCACCCGGACAGTCCGGGTTTTGAATGCTGTGTCTGGGTTTCATGGCAGCAGAAACCCAGACACAAGATGTCAGGCAGACAGGGGCAACCAAAATTAAGATATGGGCTACTGGCCCCCCCACTGAAAATAGTCTGGACTGTGATATTTACATATGAATGTGTGGCGCTATTTACTTATGAATAAGCTGCGATTCATTTGTCCCAAAAAATGTCTGAGCTTTGCTAGAGTGTTCGGGTTTCGCTTGAAGAAAAGGTGGCAACCCTAGTCCTGGTACACTTGAAGTTCAATGTAAGCACACCTGAAGGAAGCATGTAATGCTTTGCTATGGCTGAATGTGCCCATAGACCTTCAGCAGCGTCTAGGCTGGTTTTACAGGACGGTTTAGCCTGGTTTGACATGGCTAAATACGTGTAAACACAGCTAAAACCCAGGAACATGTAAACATAGAAAAAAGTGATCTGGGAAGCATAAAAGTTGTTAATACTTCTGAGAAAACTTGCGTTTAACACAGAAGGCCCATGTGCATGAGGCCTAAGACTACTTTCCTCCAGTTCAGCTATGTAGTTTCTTCTGTTACCTACCTGCCTGCTCGCTGGGCAGTGATTGACCACTTTAGGACCACAATACGGTTATAAACTGTGCAGTCCTGAAGTGGTTATACCAGAATCACGCCTGCTGATCTTGGTACCGTTCTATTCAGCCAACTGATGGCTTTAGTGTTTGGGCCGCTCTGCTGCCAAATAGTGTGCTCCCCCCTACGCTGCCAGCTATCCTGGGCTCCACTGCATGACACGTGTGTGCAGCTGGATCAGAGGGAGATCAGCGAAGTTCCAGTGGACAATCTCCTCTCTGCTTACTGAAACCGAAGGTGATGATGATTTAGTCACTTCCGGTTTCAGCCTGTCATTTCCCTTGCTGCTATCGCTAGAGAAGAAGCTGGTGAAGCATGATCTGTTCTTCATTAGCTTCAGTGGGGTCCATAGGTGACATTATTGGTCTAATAGACCCCTGATATCTCCATAAAGAACACCTGTCACTTACTCTGTGCTCGTTAGCCCTATATGTGGTAGCAATAAAGTTAAGTGTAAAAAGAAAAAAAAATGTTTAAAAAACTTTGGGTACTGTTGTTTTTTGCCATTTCATAGGTGCACACAAGTGTTTGGTATCTATTTACCTGAAACAACCCCATCATTTATGAACAAATTGGGTATTATATTCTGGTGTCAGGATACCGTGCACAGGTGTCCCCACACCACGTACAGGTATCTATACGGGAGGATGAAATGTGTGAGCACACCAGACAATGCTTATGAGCATATAGTTTATTCAACACACTGAAAACAAGTAACCAAAAGCAACTAATAATAGCCAACTAAAATGCAAAACAACATAATCACACACAAAAAGTAACAGGGCAAGTGAACCTGGGGAGCAAGGCAACACGAGTGGAGCCACGGACCAATGATCAGGGTACAAGGAGGCACCAGGATGCAGGAAACAGATTACAGGAACCAGGTCACAAGAAGCAGGTAATGGCGACAATACTGTGACACCAGGCTCACTGCAGGGAGGGATTAAATACCCTCCCAGAACAGCGTCAGGTGGTGCCTAATTGCTGACACCTGCAGGTGAGCCCTGGAAGTGCAGGACCTGGTTCCAGAGTCACAGTGCCACCTGGAGACGCTCAGGTCCCTGACAGCCAATGGCTGCCTGGAGACACCTGCAGGGGAACACTGCAACTGCCAGATCTGCTCCAGCGCCACCTGGAGGTGTTCCGATCCCTGACATCTGGTTATGTTCACTAACATATTCATTTTAGTGTATTTTTTCCTACAAATATCGATTTGATAAACAATTGTGCAAATATCGTGCGACTTAAAAAATTGCAAATAGCTTTTTTTTAAATTTGACATTGTCTCTGCTTTCAGAAAATATACAATTGTTTGTTAAGCAGATTTCTTGCCAAAAAATTAGATTTTAACATGTGTGCACAAAAATTGCTCCAGATGCGAAGTGGTTAAACAACCTGATGATGCTGAGTAAGGGCTCATGCACACTGGCGCACATACAGGCAGTGGCACACACTGTAAAATACGCCGTATTTGCATCTCCCGGGAGGCCCAGCTTCTGCGTTTGTGTATGGACAGAAAACTCTGTACGTGGTCCCGGCATTTACACACGCATGTGTAAGTTCCACTGTATGCCTGTATTTGTGCCCTCGTAACTGTCCTAAGAGGTCTCTATGATTAAGCCCAGGTGGTGAAATGCGTGAGAGGCATTTGAGTGGTAGAGATACCATGGTGGTGTATACCTTGTATTTTAAACTTTGCATGGAATTTCAACAATAAAGTTGGATTTTTATGGACCTCGGTTTTGTGCGGCTGATTGGAGAGATA